TAAAAATTAGTGCCTGGAAGATCTTTTCTAGAGCAAAAACATTGAATTGTGTCATCTTAGGTGACACCTCACCGCGCACCAATCATGCACGATTCCGCACGCTCAGGAGTCTCCAAGGTGTGAACCGATCGCGCCGTGGGTGCCATTTTTTTCTAATATCACCCCATTCGCGCCGGGCGGATCACACGGTTTCCCCCCCGCGATTCCGCCCGTTCTTCCCAAACAGCAGCGTGCCGTGTATTACAAAAAAATGGTACATGTACTTTTTTTCCTGCGATTGCCGCACGGATGTCACCCGATTTTAAATCAATGGGGCCTCGCAACAGTCGCTGCCCGCATTGTACAGGACCGTGCGATCCCCAGGACGCGCATCGCTGGGTGTCGTGCGGTGCAGATTTGAACCTAGCCTAAAGTGATATTGAAGTCCAAATGCTTTCACGCTTTTTCTAATGTTGATAAAATGACTTGCAATGGTTGCTGCTGCTGCTTAATGTTTAAAAGGTTTTAGCTTCCTGCAGAATTAACTGGTCCCCTGAGTACTGGACCTCATCATGTTTAAGTGCTTGTTCACACCAAGCGCGTTCCAGGAGCAGAGCAGCTACAGAACGGATCAAAACTGGTCCAATGTATTCCAATGGTATTTTCGGCTCTAGTTTACACCGCAGCGTTCAGTTCCAGAGCATGTGAAAAAAACTGCAGCAAGCCCTATTTTACCTGCTCTGTAATGCATGCAAACGCACTGGAACGCACTGAAAGCCCATTTTAAACCAAAAAAACTTTTTTAAATGGCCCTAAACGCAGCAAAACACAATGCACTGCATGTGCAGAAACTCATGCAGATCTGGTCTGCATTTGGTGGGAACAAGCCCTTGGTTGCTCCTTTCCTTTGCAGAGTTCTATGGAGCCACCCTTTTGTGTGCTAGTTAGCTGTGTGTGTCTCAACAAACACAAAGGTACATCAAAGCAAGCTACTTTCCTGCTCCCCAGTTCTCCTTCTAACCGTCTCCAAGATGGACATGTGCTGCAGACTGCTTTTTTTCCCCTCTTGTGATCTTGTACTGTACAGGAAGTTCAGGGAAACCAAGCTGAGAGAGTTGGAGCCAGCTGTTATGGAGACATGATGACTGTAGTGTTTGGACAGAAAAGGAATAATTTACTGAGCAATGTGTGTGTGTGTGTGTGTATATAATATAATATATATATATATCTATATCTATATAGAGATATAGATATATCTCATTGAACAAAAGATTAAGAGTTTTTAATATTACTTTAGTAATCAGTGTCAGGAAGTGATGGTTTTAGTGTGAAACTGTCTCGGGGATATCTGTGTCAGGCATCCGGCACGAGGAATTATCTTGGAGATAAGAAGGTGCCAGCCGCTGTGACATTATCTGTCTTATCAGAAGTCGAATGTCATCATGGCACCGCCTGTGGCTTCTGCAATGCTCGCCACACGTGGGCACGGTCAGTAGGACAAAAGATCAGATATTGCAAACTGTTACAAAACCTTCTGAGCCGAGATTCTTTGTGACCAGAGAGAGAATCTGTTTACACGGAGGACTGCGCCTTCTCACAGCTGATTTGTGTATTAGAAAATCATCTTTATATTTGAGATGTGGTTTGTTTTTTTCCCCATACGATGAGGGTATTTGGGACCTGTGTGACCCTTTTTTAAAATGGACCTTTCAGTAACGTTATGGGTCTGCATGAGTCCATTCCTGGCACGTCACAGAATACAGCAATCTTTTTGAAAAAAGCTCTAAAAATCCATCCTAGGGAGCTCTCCTCAAGTCACAAGCTGAGAGGCTGCAGCCAGGGCTGTGTCAGATATTTATGAATACAGCCAAGAACAGCGCAGGCACCAGGATGATTGTTTTATCTCCTAAGCCAGCATCAGGTCCAGGAAGTAGGTGGTGGTGGCCCTGGATGATGGCGGAATAAAGATAGAAAAGGGAGATTGAGAAATTGTTGGGAGGAAGACTTTGATCTACCAGGAAGTGTCGCACTAACACATTACTTGGAATGTTTACCCTAAAGTGAAAAATGGTGAGAAAGTAGGGATGCACCAATACCGATTACTAGTATCGGTGCTGATGTCAAGTATTTGGGCGAGTACTCGTACTTGCCCAAATGCTCCGATGCCTAGCCCGATACTTCCTGTATCAGGAAGTCGGACAGCGGAACTTGTGACGCAGCATGGAGCTGGCTTCCCAGCCAATCAGGAAGCCGGGCAGCGTGTAATGACTCGCTGCTCAGCTTCCTGATTGGCCAGCTTCCCGACCAATCGGGAAGCTGGGCGCCGTGTAATGACACGGCACCCGGCTTTCTCATTGGCCGGGAAGCCGGCTTCATGCTCCCTCATCACCACATGACAAGCGAGCATGGAGCCGGCTTCACGGCCAATCGGGAAGCACACTGCACCTGTCCCGAGAACAAGTCTCTGCGTGGGAGTGCATGCCGTTTAGATGACTCCTAAGGGCCCTGTTACCCTTGTAGTACAGGAGCAGATTTATGCGATCTTTGGTCTCATAGATCCCTACTCTATGGGGCCAAAAAACATGCAATTCTGCCCCAAAAGGAGCTCATGTTCTATTTTTAGCCACAACGACAAGTGACACAACTCCGCTGTACATGGGCCCATTGAGAAGAATAGAATTCTTCATCTTTAACATTGTAGCCCTCGGGAATCACTCGACAAAACACTCCGGTATGAATGGGGCCATAAAGTCGTTTACTATTACCGGTATTACACAGGATTTATATAGCGCCAACAGTTTGCGCAGCGCTTTACAATACAAGGAAGACATTACAATCACAATACAATTCAAGACAAGGATATAAGGATATATGGTAAGGATATATAAGGATATATGGTAAGGATATAAAAAAAAAGTGTGGCATGAAATGACGATCAGCTTGTGGAAGTTGCGTGTTAATATTCTAGACTAGAGTTGCATAAATTTACTGGCCAACAGCGTGCGTCCTGTTCCTCAAGGTCCAGGAAAGTTGAGATTGGTTAGTTTGCAGGTGTCATAGAAAGGTTTTGGAAAGCGTTAATGTCAGGTGGATTCAATGATTATTTTGGAAGCTTATAAAAGAGAAACTAATCTTCGTTTCTGTGATAAAAGTCCCTTTCTGGTTGGAGCAGCGTTCTCTCTTTAGACTGGAAGATTGTACTCCGAGATTACTGCAGAGTGTTCCCTGGGCACAGTTTTAAAGGAGTCGGCTCTTTTACAGAATGCTGAGACCGACATGCAATATATTCTATCTGCATCTGCCTTTTAGGAGTCCTGGAACAAAGGAGCAGTGATTTCCAGACAAAGGCGCATTACCAGAGAAGTAAACGGAACGCCAGGCAGATATAATATACACAAACTAATGCAGCTGTGTATTCTAGAACCACTTGAGTCTCCAGGCCTCTCCTCCCTAAACCCCCGAGTCCCAGAACTTCTCTCTTGTTGCAGTGATGTCAGATTTTGTAGTCTAATCTGATGTTTGGGAGGTAATATTTTATTTATTTTGTGAGAGACAGAGAGATGTGTAGAGAGCGCAAGCTACATGGAGAGCGCAAGCCACATGGAGAGCGCAAGCTACATGGAGAGCGCGAGCTACGTGGAGAGCCGGAGAGCGCGAGCTACGTGGAGAGCCGGAGAGCGCGAGCTACATGGGGAGAGCTGGAGAGCGCGAGCTACATGGAGAGCGCGAGCTACATGGAGAGCCGGAGAGCGCGAGCTACATGGAGAGCCGGAGAGCGCGAGCTACATGGAGAGCGCAAGCTCCATGAAGAGCCGGAGAGCGCGAGCTGCATGGAGAGCGCAAGCTGCATATAGAGCGCGGGCTGCATGGAGAGCCGGAGAGCGCGAGCTACATGGCGAGAGACAGAGTGCGAGCTAAGCAGAGAGATACTGTATATGCACGCAATATATATATCCATAGGACATGGCCATGGCCTACAAGAA